GGCAGTGCCATCCCGCCGCACTCTCCCCACCGGACCGGCCCGCATGCGCAGCGACACCTCTCCCCGCCGGAAGGCTTTGCCCGGCGTACTCCTGGACCGTACCACTCCCAGGGAAGGCAGGGGGCCTCAGCACCCCTAGGACGGGAGCCGCGGTGGGGGACCACAGAGGTGCGGAGAAGCCTGCAGATCATTCCCAACCCACGACTTTTTCCAGTGAATCTCGGAGAGACTCAGGCAGAGGACTCGTTCCTTCTTCCTTTCTCCCGGCTTGTGCAACTTCATCCCCCCCTTCCCTAGGTTGTGTACAGGCGCCCAAGATGGCGGGTGGCTCGGGGCGGTAGGAAGTGTCGGAGGTGAAGCGGGCTCCAGCGTCAGGCTTGCCGGCCGGGCCGGTCATTTCCCCACCATGAGCAACATCTACATCCAGGAGCCTCCCACCAACGGGAAGGTGAGTTTGCCAGGGTGAAATCCTGGAGATGTTGTATGCTGTAGTGGTATGGGAGGACAGGCGAGAGGAACACGAACTTGGGGGGTGGTGGTGGTGGTAGTGGTGGTGATGATGATGATGATGATGATGATGATGGTGGTGGTGGTGGTGGTGGTAGTGGTGATTGAGGGTGGGGAGGTCAGGTCATTGTTTCTGTGGTGGACTCCTTTGGTTAAAGTTACCTTGACGCCTCCAGAGTAAAAGAACAAGGCGTGATGTCTGGAGACATAACACAGAGCAGTCCTCGAAGCGTTTAATTTAATTTCCTCTATTCTCGATTATATCTTAAGTCCTCAATTTTATTATGATCTCTCACTGAATGTAATGGTGTTCCTTCTAAGATCGATACCTTTGGATATTTATGGCTTTTTCCCCTCCTCCCACGTTGTTTCGTTATGTAAATGATAAAGGGTGTCCAAGTTTCTGTAAAGTATCAGCCACGTTATGTTATGTTATGTTATGTTATGTTATGTTATGTTATGTTATGTTATGTTATGTTATGTTATGTTATGTTATTACAGATGTGTTATACATCTTCATTATACACATTGATTCAGAGATACTCTCAATTTCTGGAAATACTAGTTAGAATTAACAGTAGCTAACTGACACACCTAAATGTATACCACTCCTATATATATAACAAATTCACCTCTATTGTTCTTAAGCATTATATACTTTGATCAGTTACAATAAAACTGAGGCTGCATTTTCTGTATGTTTATAGGTTTTGCTGAGAACTACAGCAGGAGAGATAGATATAGAATTATGGTCAAAAGAAGCACCAAAAGCATGCAGAAATTTCATCCAGCTATGTATGGAAGGTAATGGCTGAATGCAATGGAGTTGTTGAAATTAATTCATACGCGATCTTTGTGTCCTTTCTAGAAAACAGAGGTCATAATTATGTTTTGACTTTAGTATGTCATAAGTTTATTTCTGTTTAGAAATTAATAATTAACACTCAGGCAATGTTTTCAAGGTTACCATTTAAGCTGGTGGAGAAAAATAGTAAAAATTTCTGATGCTTTTCTCAAATTAAGCAGATGACATAGTATTGAGACATTGTCTTTCAGAGTCTTGAGAAGGCTTACTTTCAGAAAATGTCTACAAAGTATAACAGTTTCAGTGTGTGTATGAGACGACAATGATGCAATATCTGACATTCTCCAACATTCTTATTTCTGCATCACAATTTACACTACCATTTATTTTCTTCTTTTTTTCCCCATGAGTGCTCCTAATGTTTCAGTTGCTGTATTTTTTGTTGATGAAAGCTCTGTAAAACTTTCCACTGAAGTAGTGCAGGCCAGAATGAGAAGCTTCCTACTGAGAAAACTGTAACAAAAATCTGTAAAAGACTTGATGCCTTTATATGTTTTTTGACTGCTGCTACTCTCCCATTTAAGCATTTATAGAATTGTTAAGAGTTCTTCTAGCTTTCAACTGTTAAAAAAAAAATAGCAGTCTAGGCTTTTGTGTCCCCATCACAAATATGTGCAGTCTGTTTTGTGTTCTTTGCCCTCATGTTGAAACTTTTTGCAATGGTAAAGGAATTTCTTAGCCTGTGATAAAGGTTCGTGTATACTCGGTGGGTTTTATTTCCTTTCTGATTTTTTTTAATAGCTGTGTTGCATCTTGTGCTTTGTATAGTACATTTAAATATTTATCACTACTATCCGAGCATATAACCATACATGACTGTGTCTAGTTGTGCTGCAACATTTGCACGCCCTACTTTATCTTTCAGCATGCTGCAGGTTTATTTTTTTAATTATTATTATTATTATTGTTATAATATTAACCAGGGGTTTGGTTCAGGTAAAGTTATGTTTTCATTCCTTTTGTTTTCTTATGATCTTGTAACCTCTATCAGACAAATAAAAGAAGATAGCTTAGTGAGCAAAATGTACCACATATTTCATTTTACAAAAATTACCGCTGTATGTGCAGTATAAGGGATGAAGGGTGTTCTGTGCTGGTGAGTGAAAATGCAAATTATATTTATTTGGATATTGCTAATCTCGTATGTGAGATCTCATCTAGGACAGAGCACAGTATTTGTAGTTCTTGTTTTAGATTGTTCTATTTTGATAGTGTCATTCCAGTAATAAAACTTATAAGCTGAAAAGACTTTCATCAAGGTCATCTTGTCAGTGATGGGCTGGATTTTTTGCAATAGAAATATGTGACATCAGAGAGTGTGATTTCATAACATTGTGGAGAATAGGAGGGAACCAAATAGAAGACAACAGCAGAATGGAGTTACAGTGTTTGTTTTCTGGAACTTCTGTCTCTGGACATCACTGCATGATGTATATGAAAGTTTGGGTTTGAAACCACTTGCATGTATTTAAGAGCTTATTCTTTTTTTTTATTTTATTTTATTTTTTAGAGTATTACAATAACACAATATTTCACAGAGTAGTGCCTGGCTTTATTGTGCAAGGGGGTGATCCCACTGGTACTGGATCAGGAGGAGAGTCAGTCTATGGAACTCCTTTCAAGGTGTGTATCTATATCTTATATGTTAATTGGTTTGTTATTCTCTGTCCATTGTTCCAAGTTCTGAAAAAGCAAATCTTATATGAAATGCATCTATGTGCAGTAGATGCCTTCATGTGCTACTTCAGTATGTTTGAATATGCCCTTCTAAACTAAGAGTTCTTAGATCTGGCTACTCTGGTATAATGATAAACCTGGGTGCTCAGATCCTGGATGAAGTTACACACAGGCTCAGCCGTGTTCTGTTGTGCCTGACTGTTCTATTTCAGGTGGGGCAGCCACCTTTATTTGTGACTGAAGCTACAAAGCCTGCTTCTGGGCCTTCCATCTTCTTGCTGCTAGACTTTTGCATCTACCATTAACCTGAAATTTGTGGGATTGAATGGTACCTGAGCAGAGAACAAAACAAAAATTACCAATATTACAGTAGCATTGCTGCTTCAAAGTAGTGGTATCTCAGTGTTGCAGTGTTTAGTATTGTGATGTTACAGTGCTATTCATTGTTTTCCCTTGCTTTGGAAGGAGTCCTGTTTTGTCTTCCTAAATCCAGGAAATGTTCTTCCAATGGATTTCTGCATTCATCTACAATTACAACCTCTTAATGTTTCAGTAACTTTACATGAATTAGGATTTAAATTAATTTTTCACATAAATATAGTGATTTTCAAGAACAGTATTTTTGTAAGAAGTGTATGAAATGCAGTTACTTTTTAAAATGTTTTTTATTTTCTTAATATTGGGGGAATAATGAATGCAAATAAAAATAATGAATATCAATCGATTTATAGGAAATGACTGGAAAAAATAAAATTAACAAGACAGAATTTAGAATTTTTTTAATTAGTAATGTGTCTTTCTCTTACTGATATTTTAGTTTCTAATTTTTTGTTTGGTGTTTGTTGTGTGTTTATGATTTCTTTTGAAGATTATTCATTTTTTTGCATCATTGTAGGCACTAAGTATTAGAAGTACTAACTAAAAATAATTTTTTCTGCTTAGAGTAGGAGATTTTAAATATAATTCTGGCATAGAGTTTCAAAATTTGGATTTATTACTGTCTGAATTCAAAACAAAATCAGTAGTATTGTTTTCTGTGTGTGCATGTTGATGTAAATAATACCACTCCTATCAAGCTGCAGCTAAAAGAGTGAAAAAATAGTTTTATACTGAAGTCATTCTCTTTTCTGTCCTGCTTTTACCAGGATGAGTTCCACTCACGATTGCGATTTAATCGAAGAGGACTTGTTGCAATGGCAAATGCTGGACCCCATGATAACGGGAGTCAATTTTTTTTTACATTGGGTCGTGCAGATGAACTTAACAACAAGCACACAATCTTTGGAAAGGTCTGTTACATGAATTGGAATCCCAGTTTAAATCTGACAGATGCTACTAGAAGTTTCCCTGAAGGCCAGTTTAGTATTGTGTGCTGCTATGTGCATTTGAAATTTAATCCAGTGCTTTCTAGGGTCTCTTCCATTCTCTTTGTTCCTTATACCTGGTAGGAAAGTTTCTGTGGGTTGTGCCTGTTACTACCTGTTTTGCTCTTGTTATTCTTCTAAATTGTATTTTCATGCTGTGCTGCCTTTAAATAATCTTATTTGTATTATTATGGCTCTGTTGTTAATCAGTTCATCTAATACTAATGACATGTTGGAAAATTCTGTTTAGAATTGATTTGATTCTAATTTCCCAAGATGGATCAGGAAGATAAAAAACATGAGATGAATTTACCACTCTCATAGTTTACTTATAAGAAATTAAAGCAAATATTTTGTGTATTTCATTGGTTTTTGTTTCATAGCTCACAGTAACTTCATTGTCTTCCTCTGTATGCATTCTCAAAACGACCTCCATTTCTTCAACTTTTGCTGTTAAATTTAAAAACCCAAACTTTTGTACATTGTACTTGCTGTCTTTTACACATGTTGCATGCTTACAATATTTCCTATATCAAATGTACTTTCAAAATCTTTACACAGTAATTGCCTTGTATTTTGCACAATAAATACCACACATTACAGTCAAGAATTTTCAAACCTTTCTTTGTAAATTTGCCAGGTTACAGGGGATACGATATATAACATGTT